TCCTCAGTGGGAGCAAGGACTCCTGTCTTATATTTATAACCCATCTGAGATGGCATTTCGTTGGACCTTTGTACCGGCCATGCACAACTCAGCTTTGCAGTAATAAAGGGTAGTTTCACAGTGTTGGAAAAAGCCTAGCCTGCGTTTGAGAAAGTTCATCACATCTGCTAAGAGGACCTGGGCAGCTTTAGGTAGCCCATTAGCTGGCTCTCCTCATGGGTTAAAAATAACAGGAACATTCAGAGGTGGTGCATTTATTATTTGAGCCAGCAAAGGTCATATTCTAAGATATGTATCCATCTTTTGTTGACCATGGAGCCTATACCCAGAAAGACAGGGGACACCCTATACAGGATACTAATCCATCACATTGTAGACACAAAATTCTAAATCTAAATGTTTTTGGATTAGGGGAGGGAATGACATAAACTCTACATATACACAGGGACAAGAATAGGATTCAAATCTACAATTCTAGGAGAGTGAGGGTATGATGCTATCCACTGAGCCGCTTGTTTCCATATGTAATCATATAATTGTGAAAGTAAATCTTTACCTAATGAAGTAGTGAAAGAATCAAGCAAATTTTGAAAAAGAACACCCCTGTTTTTAAGGTCTAGAGGATTAGAGCCATTTTAGTCAAACGCTCTGGGTCTCTCTGGAATCAGATATGCCCAACAGTGAGTCAGAGAAGTGACGAAAACACAGCTTTAACTCAACGTTGCCATGTGGGAGTGAATGAGGTGTTTAATTTAGTACAGTGGGGGCTCACTGTACCTCACAATACCATAGATTAGTGAGCTAGTGAGTCACAAACAAACATAAATTCCAACAGCCGCAGTATAAGCCTCAAAATGGATCTATTTGTATTACATGTTACTGCATTGGGAAGAATGACTTGTAACGTGGGCGGGATGAGAGACGGCAGATATGTAAATCATTGGTCATTGTAAAAGTACAGGTTAACAGGCTAATAAAACTTTGTGACACAATGCGGAGATCCTTTTAGGTTTAGGTGAATTTCATGTCTACCTTGTGATGGACTGGCATCCTATCCGTCGTGTCCCCTGCTCATTCCCTATGTTTTTTGGGATAGGCTCCAGGGTCACTGGAACAAGGATGGATACATTTACCATAATATGACCTGTTTTGATTCAGATAAGATGGATGAATGAATGGATATTGAAAGCACCAAACATCACACCTGTATCTGGAGCAACAGCTGGCATTAAGCAGTCAACCACCGTTGAAGCCAGTGAGCTCCTTTGCTCTGGCTGTTAGTTGTATCCATAGCTATCCTTGCTGTTGGTGGGAGCTGAGGTGTAGTGGACGTCATTGAGCTTATGTAGGTAGTAGTGATATCACTCCCTACAGTGACTGGTGAGGCAAGTGGTTAATTGGAATCCTGGGCTACTTTAAATTATTATCAAAAATAACAGCACTAATAATAATGTTCTTATTACTGTTTGTTTTGTTACTTTTCAATGTGGCTTTAAAGAATATGAAAATGGGGAACATTTCACATTTTAGATTAGCAACATTTTATGATGATGGGTCCTTGTTGGGTTAATTTTCATATTAGTCCAGCCGCAGAATTTTGACCCTGTAACCCTGAACAAGATTAGTGGATGAAAGATGAATGGATATAAGGTGTTTTGAATTCATTAGCTATTTGATAAAGACCCCGGATGTTGTGAGTTTAAAAATATATTCCATTTGATAAATGAAAAGTCCAAGGCTCTAATACCTAAACAGCTACATTCATGCTAATGTGCTGTTTTCATGCTGACTCATTTTTGGGTGAGTGACTGCTTGCTCATAAGTGATATAAAAATTTTAAGACTGGCATTATTAGTCAAAGATGGCAAGAGCGATATCAGTGGTTGAGTCTGGGTTATGGCTCTTTAACAGCTGGTCTAACACAAACCACGTTACTAAATAGCAGAAATGACAACTTTTGTTCATTGCTCTGTAATGTGTCTCTTTGTGGAATGCCTTTATGTCTTATATACTTATGCTCATTGTTTGCACATCATGAGGGCAGGGCAAAAGCACTAGACAACGGAGTTTATTCATTAACATACTGATAATGCCATTAAGTTGAGTATAAAATAGGTTGAACAATACAAAGAACTTCAGTAAAGCCTACAGTCTGATCCCTGAACTTGATCTCCCAACCCTCTCCCATGTGGCTGCACTGCAAAATTGCTTAAGTTGGCCCTAGATCCACCTGTTAAACCCCAAAGTGGTGCTCAGCTGCTGATAAACATTTGTCAGTATGATACAACTCATCAGTTTAACCCTGCAATCACCTTTGTGCATGATTTATATGACTATCATCCATTCATCCATTCATCCATCCATCCATCTATCCGTCTTCCGACTGCCTGTCCTAGTCAGGCTCTTGGGGCTTTTCTGCATCTCTTTCACAATTATTACTTATGTGCACTTGCATCATAATTTGTCTCTGTAGTATACCTTTAAATACTATATTCATATATTTCCTGAGATGCATTCAATCTGTGTTTCTCAACCCAAACTTCTGGGACCCACGGACAGCCCACATTTTTGCTTTCTCCCTGCTCCTATCCAATGAAAAACACAGATACCTCATACTGGGAGCAAAAATATGCACTGGGAACTAGGAGGGTGCAAAAATATGGACTGTGGGGGTCCTGGAGGCATTAAATGATAAATATCAGTAAAGATTCCCACTAGAAAATGAAAATGTGATCCTCATTACGTGGCCCTAAGACACTTTCAGTAATGGATCAGACAAAGATCCACATTCATAACAAAAAACAGTAGATAAGTGATGGAAGCGAAATTGCAAATGAGAATTAATCAGGCTTTGTTTGGTGAAAAATGTGCTGCATCTGAGTCTCTGCCGTCTTACTTTCCATCTGCCATTTCCGAGTCCTTTGGAGTTTCATATATCAGGCTGACTCCTCGGTCTGTCGCTGGCTGTAATCTTTTCGCTGAGGAAAGGCAGACAACAACAGGAAATTACTGATTGAGCGCCTGCCTATTCTGAGTCTTAATTGTTCCAGATGCTGGTGACCAGCTGAATTACAGAGACCTTGCTTACAGGGGCTGGTTAATCATGATATCTAGGGATAAACAGACATTTCACATGGGCTCACATCTTCCACCTCCCTGCCACATATCTGGTAATTGTGTCACTGTTTTTGTGGACACTCCTCTTGTGCTGGCTTGACAGGAAACTGGGCTTGTGATTATCCACACTTATTTCCCGACAAAAAAATATGATTTTTAGGCCCTTGTCAGTTTGGAGCTTCCCGGGGGAGCGGGGGGGGCACCTTTTGCCTCCTTTTAGCTGGGATTCAGCAGATGTTCTCCAGTGATTCACGCATCCGAGACCTGCCCTCCCCCCTGCCCCCCCCCCCTTCCCAAGCTGTGCCCAACAGGCCTCCGGATCCCTTGTATCCAAGGGCAACCCTGAATGTTGTCAGGTCTTTCTATCGAGGGCCGGGTCCACATCTGGGAGGCGGCAACGCTGTCTGTCAGCTGTGCCTGACCAAACAAGCTTTGCAAGTAAACTGAATTAAATAGTCAAATCAGATTTTAATCACAGGAAAGAGAACAAGTTTGGGGTCATTTTTGTTCGCATCCGATTCCTGTTTTCCTCCCATATCCAAATCTGGTTGGCCACTCAATGTTAGCAGTTAAGCAGTGTTTAATTTTTACACTCTGTTCTCGTCGCCACATACAGCAGATAAGTGACTGCCCTAACTTTAAATACGAAACTCTGCAGTACTGATTATTTTAAGTATTTCTCATTTCCACACATTTTACTCCCACTAAGGTTATTCTAATCCTACAGCTTTTACTTGGAAAAACAGCTTTATACAATTAAACCTTTGGTCAACAATCAGGGGCACCTGCCGACAGAAGAGTGTTTTTATTCTGTATAAAGGCAAATAAATTATAGCCCTATGATAAATAAATTTGTTAGGGAATATTCTGTTTTTGAACTGAGAAGGTGTTTTGTGCTGAAAAAAAACATTCTAAAGGGAAATTCAGACCTACTCTCACTTCAAACAGTTGAAAACAAGCTTTGATCTTTTTGTAGTAAATTTAATGTAGTAAATTTGTTTCTGCATAAAGACTGGCCACATGTCACTATGGTTCGCCGAACAGTGAGTTTTATTTGTATGGAGCAGCAAGTTTGCATTAAGTAGTGTGAACATTCAGACAAGATGAAGAAATGCATGTTTTGCCTGTCGTTCTTCCTAGCACACTATTTTAGACTTTTCACTTCGGTTTTTTAATGTACTTTTTTATGTGATGACATGTTCCCCCTGTGAGATAAGAAGATTCAATATTGCACTGTTATGTGCTGACTTTCAGTTACTCTGGAGCCATTAGATGTATAATGATGCATTTTTATTAGATGTGATGCTATGATAACTGTAGCAGCCAATAGCCAAGTAACATTTGCATTTTGTGGTGAATGACAGCATAGCAAAGGCCTTCAGGTATAAATCACAGCTGATGTTACAGAGTCTTGCTGTAGGGCAGCCCAGAGCCCTGCCCCCCCCATGTGTGCTCTGTGTCTCGCCACTGTTTTTGCCTTAAGCATGAAATGTGAAAACATGTCTTCCAGTACATTGCTTCCCATTGCCTTTGTGCATTCAGGCAAAATGTAATGTAGTCCTGTGCGTCTTTCAGTCTGTCCACCAATTCATACACAGAATATAAAGTACAAAATTGCATGGTGATATAAGGTAGAGGATATTTAAGTACGATTCCTATTCTTTCATAGCTTTTTGATAATATAAACCCATTATGTAAACATATAGCTTAGACCAGATATATGAAACCATTTTTATTTCGTGCAAAACAAAGACTTTATTGGCTATGTATAGAAGGAAGAAGCAACATCAACACAACTTCCTGAACTCAGGTGTGTCAGACTGGTCATTGCTCTCTGCTTAATGTGAATGTCTGTCCCTTCTGTTCATACCGTTGCCATGCAGGTGAAGCAGATCATGGAGGAGGCGGTGACCAGGAAGTTTGTGCATGAAGACAGCAGCCATATTGTGTCTTTCTGCGGTAAGTGTGACAGGTGGGCATTTATTAATGAGTGGTCAACCTTCTACCGTAGAGTGTCTTTAATTGGGTATGATAGGGACTCTCCAGAGACTCCAGACCTGATGCATAGTGGCATCGTGCCCCCTGCCATTCACTCAAGCATTCCCATAACCAGCTGGGTCCAAAAAAACCCAAGCTGGAAACTCCATCCTAGAAGCACAATGAACGATCAGCACAATTCCAAGGGAGGACATGATTATTAATTGGCTATTGACTGCTGTGCAAGATTTCACAAGATAATTAAAGCTGCAAGTGATCTATAGAACACTGAACATTGAATGCCACACTGTGGGAACCCACTGATATATATCAGTGGATGTGAACAGATGGGTAAGGCAAAGCTGGCTCAGCACTTCCCCATGGCTAGTTTGAAAGAAATCCATTGCACCTTGGTTTACAAAATGATTCAGCCATAAAATGGTCACTTAGGATAAATGCTCAAAATTTTTTATCTCCACAGTACATGCAGCTCTTGGCTATATTAAAGCATTGCACGGCACTGAATTAAGGTCCTCTGCTGCTTCTAATTTTTTGTTCAGCCAACAATACAGAAAATCTGCAGGTTTGCCTGGAATAATCATTTGTAAAATATTGTACTTAATGGTCCATATGTCTTACCTTGGCTTTACCTCTTGTTTTTTAATATGTCGTTTTATGGAGCAGGCAGAGCTGTCTGTAGCTCAAATAGATATAAACAGCTGTGTTATCGGAGAGCAGTCTGTGTAATTAAACACTGCTCACCTTGGTCCTGGCTTTTACCTCACAGGTTGCCTTAAACTTACATGTCATTGAGCAAACAAATGAGTCAGGTATTCAGTCTGTTGGCCGTTCCTGGGACAAAGTTTCTGTGAAGCCCCCTGAGATTTGAGACAGCCGTACTAGGGAGGCCTTTCTTCTATAGCACATTAGCTCTGGTTGCTCTGGTAATCTTGCACATATCACTTGTCATCTTGGTGATGTTTACCAGCAAAAGGCCTTTGTTTTCCCCTGTGGCCTCATGCTGTGCTCTGTTTGACGGATGTGTTGACTCAGTGCGATATATTCCTTCTGCTCTCTGCTCCTCCCCATGTATGTAAAGGTGGATCCCATTCCACTGTGGCTATGTTCCCAAGCATGGCGATTGTTTGGTTTGAGTAATGCGAAGGTCTGAGTAATGCGTGAGACGCCATCTAATCGGACACGTGCCACCAATTCATTTTTCTGCAGAAATATTTTGAATGCATCACTACTGGAGATATGTTTTGATTGATGAACAGGGGTGTCTGCATTAAGAGCCAGTGTGGCCTGGCCCCACCAGATGTCACATGGAACAGTGTGCCACATGAACAATTATTTAGTGTAACAAGTAATATGCATGTATTTCTTCTTTGTAAGTAATATTGTTGCGTGTTTATTACATAAGATAACAGCAGTGTTGTCCAATACATTCCAAATGTAAATGACATTTACAGTATCAGTGTTGCCAATTGTTAGTCATCACAGTTATGTTAGCCACTAGCCACAAGGCAATAATGAATCATCAACAATTTAATGGAAATTAAATGTAGTTTACGGCTTGTGTGTAGGTATGTTAAAGAGTCGGATGCTGCCCATATAGAGTTAATTGTGGCCCCGCCAGGCTTTCCATGCCAGAGACACCACCGTTGATGAGCATAACATTTTGTAAGCAAACACAAAAGTGTGTACATTCCGATTCCTGCTTTAAATTTCCAAATAGATTAGTGAATACCTTTTGTGTGCAGTGGCAGTGATTCGTTGTTTAAATCTTACAGTAACCCATGTAAATCTCACACATTTTTCATGCCATAGATGTTAGCTCAGATCAACCCTTAATATCCATGTTTTTCAAGTCAAGCAAGGCTCTGTTTTCTTTTTGGATTTTAGCCAAAAAAACAACGTTCCGGCCCACATTCTAAGCCCTAATTGGTCCCCTTGACTGTTGACAACATTATTTCAATATTTTTTCACTTTATGGAAGAATATACCATTCTTAGGTTTAAGGTTTCCAGGGTATTATTTGTGTGCTAGATAATGACTAGGCTGATAAATATATAAACCAGGGGGGTATTCCAGAAAGCAGGTTATGTGACATACCCGGGTAAGTTTAAGGGTAAGTTAGT